TAATTTGATTTTCTTTGTTCATTAGATTGTTGAAATCTTTTGTTAGATATCAAGAGGTAAACAAGGTGATACTAGGGTTAAACACTTTTTTTTTTGTTATGGTTGCAGGAATAGAGGAATAAGTTGGCTAAAAGTGAAACAATTGCCATCAGGATATCAAATGTTGCAAATATGCTTCTTCTTCCAGCAAAAGTTTATGCATCCATCAGGAGTTTTTCGTTGGCCATTGTTGCGGCCACACTAGACTTGCTTTTTGATCTACTACCTGGTTTTATCCCGTGGTTTACTTCTTCCTCCATGCCGATGCCAAATCCTTATCAATATCCTATTGGAAAGAAACTAATGCAGCCTCTGGTTAGTGCCTTTTAAGTTATTGATTCCAAAAATCATCTACATACTAAGACACTTACTCTACAGCCATAACTATTTTCATCGGGCTCTGTACTTTTACTTGCAATAATAGCTCCAACAGGGTCCATCCAATCATCGAAATAGTTAGCCATTACTACAAAACAAAGGCAATGGTGTTGGTGATAACATCAAAAAAGTGACCATGGGCATATGCCTTGACAATCTCATTTGCAAACATGCGGTAATAGACGAATAGAAGTAGTTTCATCAGTCATTGAAAGCATAATACCAATGACACATCTCTCTTGCTCCTTTGTCAAATTGAATTCGTCCTCATACACGAGCTCTTTGATAAAATGCTTAGAGACGAGAAATGAAGATGTCATATTTCCCATCTATTCTATTGGATGGAGAAATTGACTTGGCTACACAAAGAAATGCAATTAATAATTTTTTTAAACAGTCGTTGGGTTTAGACATTAGAAAGTCCTGTAAAATAGTTTTAAGGGAAGAAGTGGAAGAATATGTCCACGTCTTCAGTCACGTTCTTCTGAAGATGTGCATATAATTATTTTTTTCCAATCTGAAGGGTCGGTTTATTGGTTGCTCTTCCTCGTTCCTGGTTTTTCTCCCTAATCTAAACTCAAACATGAAAAAGGACCACAAATATCTCTCATGGACGAGTTTTTTCTAAATTCACTTGCATTTGGTTTCTCTTTAGGAGAGAAAATTTATGCAACGAATGCAAGAGTTTAACATTGACTAGAAGTATGTTGATGTTGAGGACCTTCGAAGTTTGAGGTTGACATTTGGTGTAAGGAAGGTAAAGTTGCTGCTTTATGGAAACACTTTCTTCTTGTTCTTCTT